ACACAGCAGGAGCCGGAGCGTCATGGTCGCGGTGCGCAGCGGGACAAAGTGCCAAAGACAACGGTCTTCGGTCGGTCGCCATAGTTTGGAATTTTCACAGCGCACTGCATGGGTCCGTCCGACCATTGTAAGGTGTAACAAGAAACCCAAAGATAGATTTTTGTCAAATGAACATTGCCTTTTGGCATTTGAGTTTTACGAGTTGCTGCTTAGTAGCTCGCTCGTTTGCTTCCCCTACACCTAGTTTCGGTCTTGGTCCGAGTCCGAGTCCGAGTGGACAAGTTGTCAACCCCACGTAGCTGCGGCTGGAAAACTTCACGCCTTTAGCTGCACTCGCTTGTAGCTGCTGCCAGGTGCTGGGAGGGAACATGGTCTGTCGACTTCTCCCTCTCCCTCTCTCTCTCTAAGAGTATGTGTCCGACACAGACCCAACCCGAAGAGAAAGTAAGTATCGTGGTCTTTCGACGCCTGTCAATCGCCATGCTGCGAGCAACGCCCACTCACTCGCCGGAGTGCCCCAAAATGCTGCACGTCGCCACTTAATTGCCCCAAAGCTTTTGTGCGGCCCGATTACGGTCATCCACATAGATAACAACAGCTGATAAATAGCGCCTCCAATCCGACCTATTGAACAATTTCCAATTGTAAAATGCTTTAATTTCTGAAGTACCTTTAATGAGCATTTTCAACCTGGTCATCATACAATCAGCAATGCGTCTGACCATCCATTCGCATCCATCCAGTCACTGACGAGTTCAAAACATAAAGCCCGCCTCACAATGGCTTCAATATTTGGACCATGGTTCGTCATAATTATTGCCTGAAGCTGTTGTGGTCGTGCTCAGAATAACAGAGTCCGAGTGCGAGTGTGAGTGCGAGTCCCAAGCAAAAAGAAACAATCTATTGATGTATCTGTAACTGGCGCTCAGTTCGTATCTGCTCAGCTCAGCTCAGCTCAGCACAGCTCTCGTCAGCTCGATGTTGCTTTTCTTCTGGCCTGCTGCTTTGGGGAATTAACGATTACATTGTCATTATACTACTGGCCTGTAAATGTGGCTACAGCTGGAGTGCAAGCCGAAGGTGTTACTGTGGCTGGGGCTCCCTCCAAGTACTACGTATGAGTATAATCCAGTAACCCTTTAATGCAAACACACTCGGTCCGAACCAGCTTCAGCGGTCGCTCGGTAGCTCTTGAGCTTACTTACCGCATGGCCGAGTCGGCAATGAAAGGAAATTGTAATGATCAAAATCAAAATGTTTTCGTTTCTTTTAGCTCCTAATGAAGCTTGAATAGTGCGAATGACTCTACAACTGGCCAGTTGGCGGTTAGCTGTTACTGTTTGGACGTTGGATGTTGGAAGTTGGACGTTGGTCGTTGGCCCCTCGGGCACTCGCGCACACGCGCCTTTTAATCGAAATTTGATGATGAATTCTTGACGGCTGCTGTGCTGCGATTGCTACTTTAGGCCCCCAACCTGATTTGGCCCCGGTTTTATTGTCAGCCATTTGGGACTTGGGGCTTGGGGCTTGGGCCTTGGCCTCAACTTTACTCATTTTCTCTCTGCTGTTTGCCTTTGTTATTTATTTATTGTTATTACAGTACATGCCCTCCCTACTTTACCCGATTTACGTTCTCGCTTTTTTATTTGGTGTTTAATTGTGTAAATAGGCAACAAAGCAGTCAATTCAAAAGAATACTGCCAGCTCTGCTTAACGTCTATTGGGCATGATTTGCTAGATCGTATATACTATATATTTGCCCTTCCTCTGTTTCCCTATTCCTTTATTTGAAAAATGTTGCATTCTTCGTGTTGCATCTGAACTAGAGCTCGTTGCATCCAAGTCGCACCTCATATCCCCCTGACCACCAGAGCAAAGAGCGCAAAGCACCAGAGGCCATAGACGGTAATCAATATTTAATTTATTTTACTTATTTAATGAGATTAAATTTGCAAGCCTTTAAAAGCTTTTAATGTTTTCGTTCAATTGCGCCACGCCATCTAAGCACTGCACACTGGTTTGTTTTTCACTTTTTATGGCAAAAATACGAAATATTAAGATATTTACCCAAATTTATTTTGAAAGCATATTTTGTTTATTAAGTTTGGTTCAGCTTGGGCCACTAAATCATATAGCTGTCATACAACCGATATGGTCGACATTAACTAACTTGGGAATGTATAAAACCAATGATTGGCCTGTAATTTTCTCCCATGCAATATATTTTAATTCACAACAAATACTTGAATATATGTAGTTTATTTTTCTCCCTCCCATCTCACACTGAGCTCTTACGGAATTTCCTCAATACTGCCATATTTCAAAAGCTACAAAAACCATACTTTTGTTTTAAATTTCATCTAAATCGGTCAATTCTAATGAAAGTTATTAGCTAAACAAAATTGTTCGTAGAACTATCTTTTAAAATAACAAAAATTACAAGCATAATCAAGGAAATCTAGCAAGAGAAGGAGATTGAAGAGTTCACGCCCTTTTGGCCCTGCCAATAGATAAATATAAAATTGTAAATAAGACAAAACTCCTGTTTTAAGTTGTATATAAGTTTGATTTAAGTTAAAATAGCAGTATAATTAAAGTGTATAAATGTATATCAAAAGAAAAAAACAAGAGCTGTTAGTAAGTCCCATAATTGCCTATAGCCAGCTTTTTGAGGTAGGTTCTTTTTTTAACATAAATGTACCTCCTGGATATCGCTATTGCATTGTTATTTAGACCATGCAGTGATTCTTAGTGGCGTGTATTCAAACCGCGTCCGACCCGTTTGGTCCAGTAATGCCGTTTTCAAATCGGCTGGGTTCCACAGAGATGCCACGGACGAGCGGAGAGTGATTTGAAGTTTTTGCAAGAGTGCACAGCAGAACTCAATGATTTGCGCATCCATGCACTTCCAAAATCACGAAAGAGCTATGGTCGAGTTTCTCAAAAAACAAAACAAAAAAAAACGTAATTAGTTTTGTAAAGCTGACGGAAAGGAATCAGCGTTTCGCTTTATATGTAGTTTCCCAGCAGACAGCAATGTCGCAAATGGAATTTTGAAACAAATATCATGCAAAATTTTTTGTTTACAGATTTTGCCTGCGAAGAGTTGGGAAATGCTGTCAAACAGTTCAGTTCCTTCTAAATATTTACATGTGAATGGTTCCAGAACGACTCAAGCGATGATCTCGTAGATTAAGATGAACTATGGAAACAAATTAATTAAACTACAAGTATAAGTCATTAAAGAATGATATGAAAGGTTGCAAATTGTGTTTTTTTATTTCTTGTAAAAATATTTTAATAACTTTTTTTTTAATTTCTAAGCTTTTTCACTCTCCTTCCTTCTGAATTGTTGGCACAGCTGGTTCGGGCTCCCCTTATGGTCACATAATCCATATCATGCCAAATTAATATTGTTGGTGAGTTTTTTGGACATTTTTTGTAGTTTTTCCTGATACCACGTGGCCGGCTCTTTAGCTTATCTCTGAGAATGGACACAACACTCATTGGTGTGGCATCAATTACATGAGGGAGAAGGCGCTCAATCGTTATAAAGAACACCTGCGAAGCCTGCGTATACAGATTCCTGCACAGGTAGCGGAACATTAATTAAGGGAACAATTAATGTTTAAATGGAAAGTACGCGGGCGCATTTCCATTGACACAAAATTCCCTTTGCTCGTGTACGAGTGTGTTTCTGATTTTCACGTTATTTAAAATATGTATGCGAGCGTGCAACTTTTGACTTTCATTTCAATTAAAAGTAAAGTTGCATGCAATGGGAAAAGTAAAAATTAATGCACTATTATTCAACACTAACAAGCTTAAAAGTTTGAAGCCGCTTCGACGTTTCCAGCCCGTCTCTAGGCCACCTTTTGTGGGCTGCTGCGTGTTGTCAACGTCAACGTCAATGCCAGAGTACGCGGCAGAGGCAGAGCCAGAACCAGAACCAGCGCCGGGGCGGTGAGGCGAAGCAGCGTTGCAAGTGGAGCGTGGAAAGCGTGACAACTACAAGTGCAAGTGTTGTGCATGGCCTATGTGTACAGTACTATATAGTACTACGGGTGTATACCCGAGTTTGTGTCTGATGCATAATTTTCAATTCAGTGCGTTGTGTTTTTGTACCCCTTTTACCTTTACCTTTACCTTTACCCGCGAACTCGTTTTTCCTACCAAGCCGGCGAAAAGTTGCATGCTCACCATTTGTTTGTTGCTGCTGTTGTTGTTGTTGTTGTTGGCAGTGCAGCTGCTACTTCCAGTAGTTGGTTCATTAAAAATACCATCTTTAATTTCATTTTGCATACGTGTATGTATATATGTATTTTCCCATTTCGATATTTATGCATCGCTTAAATTTCCATTACTTTCATTCGCTAACTAGTAAATAGTTTCTTACAAAAACAGTTTGATTCGATTCATGTTTAACAATAAATAATTTAAATTAATCTATAATTACGAGTGACTCTCAGTGCTTTTGTTGTTGTGTCTTTAACGCAATATACAGCTATATTAATAATAAGTACTTCTCTCTCTTACGCATAGGTATTTAGCCTAGGATTAAATAAATACAATTCAGTTTGCAGTAGAAATAGTACGCGTAGTAACTTTGTCGGAGTGCATGGCGTGAAGAAGACGGAGAGTGGAGATCAAGACCGTGTTACATATATACAAAAAGAGTGCCTGCATACATACATGTAGGTACGAGGATGTGTGCATGTGCCTTGGCTAGTTGGACCATAGGTGGTCCAGCTGTTAGAAGAGGGCTTGCTGCCTGTGCGCTTTACTACTACTAAGTACTACTACCTACAGTATTTCCACTACTCTGCTGCTGGCTCTACTTATAGCTAATTTTGTGGGTGGTATTGTTGGGTTGCGGGTGCGTCCGGGAGGAGGGCATCACAGTTGACAGCGACGACGTGGAAATCTTCCAGCCACTAAGCGTAAATGCTCAGCTGCCTGCGGCGGTAGCCGCCGCGCAGCTCTAGCGTATACACAGGCGATCAGTGTGGAAACTGGCGCAGGGTGTTGTTGCCGTGGGCGCTGGTGGCCGCCGCCGACTTCTGCTGGAACGATCGGCGTCCGGTGGTGGCACACAGGCCGTTTCGCAGCGGCAGTGCTGGCGGCAACGGCGGCGGTGTGGGCGTTTTGCTGCGACCCACCTGCTCCAGGGGTATGGAGTAGTGGGCATTGCTGTAAATATAGTTCGGATCGAGCACTTCCCTATTGACGTCGTTGTCGTACTGCTGTTGTTGCTGTAGCTGCTGTTGCTGCTGCAGCTTGAAGTGCTCTTGGGTGAGGCGGAACTGCTGCGACGTAACGGGGACGCCATGCACCATGGGGACATCGGCGTAGGAGTAGCAGGAATCGCCTACTGCGGCAGTGGCGGAGAGGAACTGCGGCTTGGTGTAGTGATTCAGCTTGGGTGCAGGCTGCTGATCGCGTGCCGCCGCCGCGGCTGCTGACTTCATGTGTAGGACAAAGGAGGCGCTGTCATCAATGGCGGCACCGCCCCCGGCAAGGGCCACCTTATTGTCGTTCAGCTTCTTCTCGCTCATGAGGGTCGCTGTGGGCACCTGCAGCTGCTGGAACTTATGTTGTTGGTCCAGGCCATTAAGATCGTTGATGGGTATAGCGCACATGCCATAGTGGTGGGCGGCTCCGGGGTGGTGAGTGGCAGTGTATGTGTTGGGGAAGGTTGAATGAATTCCTAGAGAGCAAGGGTGATGCTGGAGGCGCGACATATAGTCCTCGTCGCAGAAGGTCTTTTGATACTCGCGCTCCTTGCGACCCAAGGCCGAATTTCCCCACAAACCCCCCTTCACGTACTCGCGAATCTTGTGGCGGCACCGATACAGTACGAGAGCCAAGGCGGTGATTGTGGCTGCAGAGCCTACGAGTAGGGCGCCAATCAAGGCCTGCTTTCGGGGATCGGTGTGCGTGCATCCCATGAGGGTTGGATTCAAATGCTTCAGAGCCTCACCGCGTAGGCGTTCGGGAAACTCGCAGATAACCTCACTCAACTCATCCTGGCTAGCGTTTTTGGCAATGAGCAGATTTCGCATCCACATAACCCGACAGTCGCAGGCAATCGGGTTCTCCGACAAGTCCAGGGTAGTCAAGTCTTTCCAGGGAAAGAGGCCCTCAGCTAGTGAGGTCAAAGCATTTGCCTTTAGCACAACATGTCGCAGGTGTGGAAGTCCACTGAGCGCGCCCTCCTGTACCTCCACAAGCATTTTGTTGGACGAAAGATTAAGATACTCTAGGTTGGCGTTGGCAGCAAATGCGCCTGACATTATGCGCTTCAGCTTAAGCGCTCCGTTAATGTCTAGACGCTTCAGCTGCTTGAGGCCTACAAAGGCACCCTCCAGGATAACCTCAAAATCATTTTGACCCAAAGACAGCAGCTCCAAGCGTTCTAAATGACTGAGACTGAGGCTGGGAATGTTCGGCAGGCGGTTGTCTGACAGATCGAGGACGCGCAATGCTTCCAGTCCTTTGAAGCTGTCATGTGAAATGTTCCGCAGACTGGCTCCCTTCAGCTCCAGGCGCGTTAGACCCTTAAGGTCCTGGAATGCCGCCGACTGCACTGTTAACAAAGAGTTCATGCCCAGGAAGAGCTCGGCCAGATTGGGAATGGCCTGAAAGATGACGGGGTCCGGCACCGAGGTCAGTGCATTGTCGTCCAAGTACAAGATGCGCAGTTGCGAGAGTCCATCGAAGGCCTTGGGATCAATGAAGCCAATGCGATTCTCCCCCAAGTTGAGCTCCTCGATCTTAAGCAGTGGCGAAAAGGTTCCCTGATGCAGTTCCGAAATGAGATTGGCGCGCAGATTGAGCACGGTCACAGCGGAGAGTCCAATGAAAGTCTTGTTGCTAATCTGGCCAATCTTGTTGTGATCCAGATGCACCTCCTGCAGCTTCTTTTGATAGGCAAAGGTGCGTTGAGGAATTGTCATCAGATGATTGGACGACAAGTCCAAGAAGGTCAGCTCGGCATAGAACTGAATAGACGAGTCGATAGTCTTGATTTTGTTGCTTTTGATCACCAGTCGCTGAATCGATGGATTCAGAGCGATGGGCAACACATCCAACTGCCCCTCGCCGCACTGCACGACCAGCGTGTTGTCATCGCACTGACAGCCTGACGGACAGTTGGCCAGCGCACTGGTGCTCACCAGGAGGGTCGCAATGATGCAGAAGCCAATCAGATGGCACTCCATGTTGAAATTGTACATGTCCAAATTCTTCCTTACTGTTGTCCACTGGCGTGGTTTCGGATTTGTAGTTAGCTCGATGAGACGTGCGTTTTGGACAGTGTTCTCACACTTTTAGTTTTCCATAGTGCCTTTAATGAAAAAGAAAGGAAACTTGTTAGAAATCCGTTGCAACAATATTAGTTGTTTAACTTCGAACAAAATCCGCCATAAAAACAAAACTAACAAGACTAATAAATTATATAGTACGTGTTAACAGTTCGAAAATTTGGCAATGCATGCAAATCAAAATTGCTGCATGAAAATGTATCTTGCAGTAGTACAAAATACAAGTAGTACTAATATTCTTGCCATTCAATATAAAGAAATCAATGAGCTATGTGGCCAATATTTAAGTAATATTTAGCAATCCAAATAATTTCGAGTTTTCGTATGTACATTTATGGCAGCAATTTTGTTTTAGGTTTGAACTGAACATCAATTGTTTGTAAAGCAAATACTTTAATATTTATTCACTGATTACGTTTTTGATAAACTTGTTTGGTTTATTAATGTTTTTTAATTTTTGCAATTTCTTCATTGCTGCCTTACCTTTTTATCTTTGAAATTTTGAATAAAAAATTCGACAAGATTTCCAGTTCAAATAATAGTTGTTTTTAACAGTACAGCTCACAGCTTACGAGCTTCTTGTTTATCGTTTTTTATTTTCAAATTTTTTTGGGATTCTTGATATTATTTATGCTGCACTCAATATAACTGTTGCATCAAAAATTCACTTATAGCCAATTTGTATTAGCCAATTCATAGCATTTTCGTTTCATTCATTTAACAAAATTTTATTGCGAGTTTGAAAAACGTGCGCGATAATCCAATGGTTCGCCGTGCTGCACGCTTCAAGTTGTTGTCACTTATTTCTCGCTTCGTATTTTCAACTTCTTCACTGAGACACAATCGTTTTGGCCACACACAACTAACTTGCGGCTCCAGGCAGAGACAACCGTACACGACGAGGCAACGAACTACACTGATTTTACGATGTGCCCTTTGCGCGAACGACACCTCGGTAGGCAGCTCAGCTGTGGCTCACTGCTGCTGAGGCAGCTGCAAGCGAGCGTAAATGCTTTCAACGTCCTTGCATTGTGGCTGGAGCGAACGAGCGAACGAGAGAGACCGAACGCTTGAGAGTGGTGCAAACGAGAGAGGAACTTATCTAAAAGAGAGCAAACTGGTTTTGAGAGTAGCCGTGAGATACTTTTTGTGTTCAGTCACTCAAACAACTCACTCAATTATCTGGCTATGCTGTTCGCCTTGTAGTGCCGGAGGCACCACAGCCTGCCACACTCTCAGTTGCAACTCGCAATAATGCAGTGTGACCTGGCAACATAAAAAAAACATAAACATTTGAGAAACACAAATATTTTGTTGACTCTTTAACATATAACCCATATTGGGGGTAATAAAGAGATGTTTTAAAACCAAAAAACAAAAGTCAAAGGGCTTTTTGGATTAGTTTTATTGAAAATGACACGTAACTTAAAAAAAATTTTACATTAAAACTAAAATTTTATGAAGTGGCTTTTTGAGCCTGCACCCAAGTTAGTACACTAAATTTTGACTTCATCAAGTATGTATAATCCAAAAATATTTTTTTTAAATTATATTCTTTAAAATTTGAAATTCACACCTATATGCTCAAAATGCCAAAATTGATCGGAGAAGTACCAAAACATGGCAAAACTCTCAAATTTCTCTATAGAGCACATTGTGCATTATAAAACTGCGCAATAGGATTGATCAATTTTTGTCTCTGCTTGAAACTACAGTTATACGAAAATGGTAGATTTTCTGTACCCAAGCAGGTACAACGGCAGGGAATAAGTTAAGAAGCGACTATTAAATAAAAATATAAAATTGTGTAGCTTGTAGCGGCCTTCTCCCCTCTCCACAGCATTTCCAATAAAATTATATAAAGATATATACATATGCTCATACCTATAATCCACATATGCGTGCCGCATATAGAGACACACACACTCACACCTGTGCCCCTTATAAGGTCAACTTATTCGCTTTTATTGTCGCGACGAGAAATTCAAGAACGTGCACGCATCTAATTGAAAGCAAATGGGCGCCTAGTTGGCTGACATTAAAGTCAAGCGGCTCGGCCCGCCGGCAAAATTCGCACCTCACGGAGCTACTTGGCATAATTAGGGCAGGGCGAGCGCGGAAAGTGTGGCAGACTTTAGATGTTGCTGTTGGTGTTGCTGTTGGTGTTGGTGTTGGGGCCAACGCACGAGTGCGTCATAAGTTTTGGCAAATGTGTTGATTATTTCATTAGAACGTGGCAGCAGCAGCGACAAAAACCGCGCAACGTGCAACGCTTTTCGTCCTTGCCGCATTATCCTAGCGACTTAAGTATCATCGACATCAACGACAGCAGCGGCGTCAATAGCGTTTAGTGGTTTATTTAAATGTGACACTTGGCACAAACACTTTACGAATATGAACGTTTCTCAAAGATACATACTTGCAACATAGGCGGCGAGCACGTCAGAACGAATTTTGTATGTGTTTGCAAGGAAACGCGGCTGTTATTTTATAATATACTGAGTATGTTTGCGAGTAAGTGGCTCCTGCTGCCTTTGGCCACAAATACACACTTGTGTGCTTGTATCTTGTAGATACTTGTGCTGAAGCAGCCCGCAACCGCAACTCCACAACTCCTTGCCACTTCACGCACTTCAATGTGTCTTTCTCGGGTTTCCTTTTTTCAGGAACAGTCAGCCGCTTAACCTGCCTTGCAATCATCAAATCAGCTATAATGTTGCCCAAATAACGATGTAATTTTCCTTAAAAAAGTGTTAAGTGCTTCGAGTGCCAGGAATGAGTTGAAAATGCATTTTGGAAATGCATATATCTTTTGGATACACACGACAATGCTCTGCACATAGTTATTTATAATGTTATTCGATACTTTTGACATGCCTGTCTATTGCTTTTTCTTCCATTTTTCATACCATACATATAGACTACAAGTATATACATATGTATGTATATCTCAGACGGAGAGTGAAATATTCAATACTACAAATACAAATATTCTATGCATACACATACACATACATATGTACATATGTATATATGTATGTGCACATTCAAGTATGTGACAACAAGAAAACCAACTCTAAATGGCCATAACTTTGTCCCCTGTCTGTGGAGAAGGGAGAGGGGGCGGGGGTTTCCAAACCCACTCGCATTGCTGGCATTTTTCCGTTCGCCCGCCCGCCTTCAACATTTGTAAGAGCATGCAAAATATTATTTCGGTGCGTATGTCTGTTTGTGGATACTACGAGTATTTGGGCAATGCAACCAATAATTAATTATGTGCGTGTGTTTGTGTTTGTGCGTCTGTATATGTATTCGGTCTTTGTCAACGGTATTCGAAACTTTGTGGTTTTTATCCAGACAAGACCGTAAGTGTAAAATAATTTATTGCATTTATGGCTCAACAAATCTGCGTGTACGGGTTTACGAATATACGGGTGTGTGTGTGCAGCTAGAAACATTGATGCCGTTTTATGTGCTTGTGCAAAAATTTGTTGCAAGCTTGCAAAATTTCAACTTGCAGATGTTGCAGTGCCGTCTCTAAAACCGATTGTAATTGTGTGAAGAGCCTTTGTGAGACCATTTACGAGCACATGGAGACGAAGTCTTTCACCGAATTGATGTGGAGCCCAGAATCATTTGCTTACGATTTGCAGCTCTAGCTGTCTTATGTGGGAGGACACCAAAATGCATTCCCAGTCCCTTACCTCGCCCCCTATTAGTGAACTAAATTCCAAAGCCATTCATTTCGATCGTATATGTTGTAATTATGAATAGCCAATAATCGTGTAAGCCCAGTAAAATTGAATTTTGAACCAACTTCAAAAAAGGAGAAGGTTTCGATTCGTCTGTATTTATATTTTATGTTTGTTAGGTTTGGATGAAAGCTGGTGCTTTCCGAATGGACCTATTTCAATTTGAGCCAGATCTGACAATGTTTTTTTTTTTAATTTTGAAAACAATTTATAAACTAATCACATCAAATACTTGTGCTAAAATATGTGCTCTTTACTAAGTAGTATTCTCATTAAGTACTTACATATACATATCTTAATAAGTATGAAAATCCCAGAATTCATGTTCAAGGTCTACTATATACATATGCAAACTCAACACCATCATAAATCATGCAATAGGTTGGGTTATACCGATGGACCGCCTTTGACAGTCCCACATAGATGAGTTGGTCCTTAGTGTCGTCGCGCCTAAGCGGTCCATTCGGTTGCGGTTTTATAATCCGTTAGCATCCTACTGTGTTTCGAAAATGCCTGAAGCGCGTTGGGGGAGAGTTTTACCGCCTCTTTGATTCAGGAAAGCCTGAATTACGCCTCCTGTTCCTTGCATTTTCTACATCTATCGCCTGTTGTAATGCCCATATTCTTGGCAGGGGCTACTATACAGTAGTATATCAGTATCAGTATTAGTATCACAGTATATCCTGTGATTATACCTGCTATGAATGTTAATTCCTTTCTATGGAGAAACCGTGCGATAACTTAATAAGAAAATATTCATATGTATGTCACTCATATGGATTGCCGAGCTTTGACAAAAGAGTTTTCCTTTCCTATACGGAATATTAGGTCAAAGGCGGAGGTAGCGTGTTTGAACCCCGACGACAAATTACCTACCTTCTAAATCAACTTTATCGGATTACAAATAATTGGAAACACTTACATATCTCCTAAGCAGTGATTTCGCAAAGCACAAGTAAGCTTTCCTCTGTACATGAATTAATAGCTGACGATTCGCTCGCGAGTTATATTAGAGGACAATCCACATATTTCCTGCGACTGCCACTATAAGAAACAGATGCTGTGTTAGGTCTGAGGCTGCAGCACTGGATTTTCAACATACCACTAACCATTGAAAAAAATTTCTTGGGGAATCAAAAAAGAATA